TCAAACATATCTATTCAGGTGAACATTAAATGCTGTTAAGTAAGTAGTATTGGGATATATTGTGGACAATATAATATCCTCTATACTGACCTATATGTTTTCATTGTGATCTCCAGGTCCAGCAGCACTGGCACAGGTACACTGAGAAGATGGACAGAATGTGTGAGGAGGCGTTCAGACTGAATGTGAAGTGGTCACTACAGGAGCTGTCCAGGGCCATCAATGGAGACGGCAAGACTGCCCCCAACCCGCTGTTCAAGGTGAAGGTGGTGTTGGAAGGAGACAAGGTGAGTGTTGTCATGGAAACTAATCAAATATAGAAAAAATACACGGCGTTGCTATGGAAACTGATAAAATGTAATTAGCATACACATGCTTTATTTTAGACTTTATTAAGTCTGAAATTTACAGTTGAAATTTACAAAATCTTAAATCCTTACAATTTAATTTTCATGGAAGATTTAAACATAATATTATAAAGAATATCAAAATATGGGTACACAGGTCTTAGAGGGAAATTCTTTACATAGCAGTGCCTTTAAAATAATAACTTTTGAAAAACAGAAAAGAAATGTTCATTGTAAAGGATGAAATATAAATATTTATAGAGTGTTTTGTAAAAGTGTTTCTTTCTTTATATCAGGTTGAGTTTAACCCCACATTGAAGCAGCTGGCGTTCATCGTGACAGCCATAGGATCCCACCTGACTAAGACTATCTCCAGTATACGTAGGCTGCCAGACCTGCTCACGAAGAAAAAATCTACCAAAGATGTGAGTGATTTTCATTTGTTTTACACATTTCCTTCTGAAATTCATAGTTTAAAGCAAGAAAACAAAGCCTATATTTCTTACATGATAACAGCAAGGTTTTTGTTTCAAATTTTCCGGTGATGGTACTCCCAGATATTATTACTATTATAATTATTATTATTATTTTTATTATTTCCAGCCCATCCATGATGTTGTGGCCAGAGACGAGGAGATCAGGAAGATCCAGAACGCCATCAAGACAGGAATGGCGACCAATGCCACCAGTCTCCAGGAGTACCTGACCACCTGGGACAACTACCGCGAGATCTGGGAGATCAACAAGGACGCCTTCATCAGGAGATACCAGAAACTGAACCCACAGGTGTCCTCTTTCCACGCTGATATTGAAAGGTACATGTGTGTTTTTTAAACTGCTGTATTGCCTTTTGGTAAAACTACTTTTTACTAAAGTTGAATGTGTTAACAGAAACATAACCATTTGTTCCTTGGCCCATTTGTGAACTATCCTGAAAATTTATCAAAATCTGTCCATAACTTTTTGCATAATGCCCCAAACAGACAAACAAACTAATGGAAGCAAAAATACTTAATCTCATTGGAGGAGGAAAGTATTTTTGTAATACAACTAAATGTTATATAATTAAATATAAACAGGAATGATGACTTTTATTACAAAGTATTTGACTGAGGACATAACACTACATGATAACTCTATATTTCCAGATACACTGAGGTAGCTAACAATGTTCAGACCCAGGAGACCATCCTAAACATCCAGTTTGTTCTGTTAGACTGTTCTCCTCTCAAGTACTCTATCCTCAGTCACTGCCAAGAATGGCAGAACAAGTTCACAACGCTGCTCAAGGATATCGCTACCTCCAAACTGAACGAGCTGCACAGCTTCCTGCAGGATAACGGGGCAAAGTGAGTTTATACCAACTGAATATTTGTGGGTTTTATTTTTATTTCATTGATATAAGTCAAAACTGTTAGCAATAGTTTCAGCTGTTACCTGAAGGTTGTCAGTAATGTTTAATTAAACTTGATTGGCAGATGACAAAGAAGTCACAATGTAGACACTATTATTTGGCTGCAGTATGTCATCTTTTAGTTCAACTAATTAAGTATTGATGATTTTCTATTTGAGAATAAAATAATTATTTTTCAAGCTGATAAATTTGTTAAGATATGCAGCTGAATTGGTGAAATTTAGTATGATTTTTTTTTTCTTTATTTAAGCTGATAAATGTGTTAAGATATAAAGCATACCCTATATTTCCGCAGGGTAAGCAAACCACCCCAGACCCTGGATGAGCTGGCCGACACCCTGACCCTGTGGGAGACCCTGAACAGTGACCTGAGCAGTGTGGAGGCCAAGTTTGCCCCTCTCTACGACCAGTTTGCCATCTTGACCAAGTATGAGGTGCCAGTGCCAGAGGAGGTAAGGGATTGGGCTTATCTTGTTCTGCAGATGGCAGCACATAGATAAGCTATTTGACTAAATGGGCATATTGGACTGACTGGAAGCTTAACGTTACATTAATGGTGTCAGACTTGAAAAAAAAATTATTTAAACTGTTATAGTTTACTCAGTAAATAGGCCAGCCTAAGTTTGAAGTTGTACAATGTTTAAAGATTTGCTATCTTGTTTTCAAAATAGATCTTCAATCAGGTTTACATCTTTTCTGTTACAGGCAGTCTTCCTTAATTTACAAGTTATACAAAGAATAGTAAGGTGAATAAAATTGCATTAAAATGTGTGATCCTATTGAAAAACATTGAGCTTATACCACTTGTTTATGTAAACTGTATGTCCCATTTTTGTTGTAGACGACAGCTATGTTAGATGAACTTCCTAACAAGTGGGTGGAATTCCAGCAGACTCTGATAGATGCTGATGCGATGCTGAAGAAAAATAAGGTAACCTACTTAGCAGTGCCCTTATCAATTTATGTATGAAATATGTCAGGATTCATTAGACATATTCCAATGACTTTTGTTACAGTTTTGAAGTCCTAATATTCAGTTTATATTAAAAAAAAAAAAATAAAAAAATAATAAAACATATCCTCAAGAAGGAGATCATTGGTGCTTGCAGGAGAAGTTCAAGACGGGACTTCTGGCGCAGGCAGAGGAGTTCAAGAAACAGGTGGCAGCACTGCTGTCAGACTTCAGTAAGAACGGGCCGTTCAGTGGCAGTCTTGGCACAGAGGCGGCGCTGGTGCAGGTGGCCGAGATCAAGGCTCAAGTGAACAACTTCAAGGAGCAGGAACAACAACTACGGCGAGGACTTGGTATCTTCAAGATTGATCAGCCGCCATCTAAGGATATTGGAGTACTGGAGAAGGTATGGTTTAATTATGTGCATGTGTCTCTGTTTGAACAGTGTCTGACTGTCTGCCTGTCTGTCTGTCTTTGTGTGTGTTTTTTATAAAATGTATTTGATTTTAAATGCTGTTTAAGTTTCCCTTCAATATCTGTATCTTTTGCAGTACATGGCATTCTTTTGGATGAGAACATTATAAAAATCTTGAGTGGGAAGAACACTGGGACCAGTGGAAGCTAGTATAACAATATCATGTGTTCTATTCTAGGATATAGAGAGTATAGAGACAGTGTGGGAGATTACTAAGGAGTGGGAAGAACACTGGGACCAGTGGAAACAGGGGAAGTTCTCTGGACTACAAACAACAGAAATGGAAGATCAGTGTCAGGTAAGTGGACATGTGATCTTTTTTTTCTTCTTTTGTAATTTAACAGAAAACTCAGGAGCTCTATAAGACACTACAGTTTGGAAAAGTTGAAATTTTTTTATTATTTTAAAGCTTACTTTTCTTAATAAATGAATGTGCTGTGTTAGATCAGTTCATATTCAGGCCCGTAGCCAGGGGGGTTTGGGGGGTTCAAAAGAACCGCCCCTTTTGTTTGGAAAAGTTCCGCACTGGGTAAAATTTGATCTAGGTACATGGGGATTTTATGGTAAAAGGTCCACTTTTTCAAAAAAGAACCCCCCCCCTTTGAAATTGCTGGCTTATTATTATTATTATTATTATTATTATTATTATTATTATTATTATTATTATTATCCCCCCAGGTGCTGTTCAAGAAGCTGTCTAAGCTATCACGTGAACTAAAGGACAAGAGTTGGGAGATTGTGGAGCAGAGTAAGAATAAAGTGGACCAGTTTAGGCGTACCATGCCTCTGATCAGTGACCTGAAGAATAAAGCTATGAGACCCAGACATTGGACACAGATCAGGGTAAGGCTGCACAGGATTGTGTGTGTGTGTGTGTGTGTGTGTGTGTGTGTGTGTGTGTGTGTGTGTGTGTGTGTGTGTGTGTGTGTGTGTGGACAAGCATTTGAGTGTCATTTGTGCATATGTAAGCATGTGTGTGCATACAAGCGTGAGCATACACACATGCTTGCAGACACACACACACATGTACCACACATAGGCATGCATAGTGCACACACACACACACACACACACACACACACACACACACACACACACACACACACACACACACACACACACACACACACACACACGGCAGTGGCAGCAGAATATTCAGAGGAAAAATCAAAATCTTCATTGTAATTCAAACAAACAGATCTGACCAGAGCAGTGAATTTGGATTCACAGTTCAATATCCATCTTTCTTCCCCAACAGGAAGACATGCAAAGGAGTTTTGACCCTGAGTCAGATGATTTCACCCTGGAAAAGATCATCGAGTACGGTTTTGACCAGTACAGTGAGCAGATCAATGATATCTCTGGCGCCGCCACTAAAGAACTGGCCATAGAGGTGGCCCTACAGAAGATCAGTGAGACTTGGGAGATTACTGAGCTGGACATTGGACCCTACAAGGACAAAGGTCACTTCAAACTGAGGTCAGTTTTGTCCAGGTCTTAGAAGATTGATAATAATTAAATATAATAATAATAATAAAAGAAAAAAATAATCAAATATTACTTCGAGTAAGATTGATAGCAAAATAGCACACACTTTAGCCTTTAAACCAAAATAAAACAAATTATGTATTTTAAGCCAGCATTCCGAAAATAATTCTATTAGATTGCTTCATGTAACTTGGGTAGTGAAATGGCATGTTGTCTTTTAATTAAAATGGAATAAGAAATGATAAGCCTTCCTAATCAGTGTTCAGAGCATTTTTGAAACAAGAAGGGCGGGGCATAATTTCGTTATTCTCCCTCCTCTCTCTTTCTCACAGGTCCACTGAGGAGGTGTTCCAGTTCCTGGAGGATGGCCAGGTTCAGCTGTCCACCATGAAGGCATCCAGGTTTGTGAAGGCATTTGAGCAGGACGTGGACAGGTGGGAAAGGACGCTGTCACTGATCATGGAGACAGTAGAGATGTTGTTGACTGTACAGAGACAGTGGATGTACCTGGAGGTGAGGCATAGCTCATACATATTACTTTATTTATATATATTTATAGTTATATGGCACTTTTTTTTTTTTTTTTTTTTTTTTGCATATTTAAATGAGAAACAAAGATTTATTACAACAGCCACACTGAATTAAGAAAAAAATTAGTAATACAAAGTTAGTATATTGTGATAGCAACCACACAGGGAAATACCAGACCATTCTAAGCTCTAATACATGACCCCCACAGCCCAAGTGAAGTGGGTAATATCTCTGGTTTTATTCCAGAATATTTTCCTGGGAGAAGACATCAGGAAACAGCTGCCCAGGGAGTCAGCTGACTTTGATGAAATCAACATCAGCTGGAAGAAGATCATGACAACCATGAATAAAGACAAGAATGCTCTAAGAGCCACACACCAGCAAGGTGAGGACATCCATGTGGAGCTCATGTGATCTTGTTAGATGATTGAAAAATTATGAATGGATGGATAGATTAATGAATGGATGAATAAAAACGTTTTTTAATTCAGAATTGTTCAAAAGTCAAACTATAAATTCAACTTATTACAAAATTTAGCCCATTTCATTATATGCTATTATCTCTTATAACAATAATCTATGTACACCATAGTCTACAATGTATATCTAGTTGTTTATAGAAATCACTATGGGAACTACTTCGTGTATTTGTATTTGATTATGCCTGGATGTATCTGTATCTGTACCATGTGTTCCAGGACTGCTGGAGAGGCTGACTCAGATGAACAACAAGCTAGAGGAGATCCAGAAGTCTCTGGACATGTACCTGGAGACCAAGAGACAAATCTTCCCCAGGTTTTACTTCATCTCTAACGATGACCTCCTTGAAATCCTGGGCCAGTCTAAGAACCCCGAGGCTGTCCAACCACACCTGAAGAAGTGCTTTGATAATATTAATAAACTCAAGATGGGAAAGGTAGGGTACTGGTAGAATGGTCAGGGGTGGGGGATTTAGTTTTTGGTAGGGGTGAAGTAGAGAGGTTACAGGTTTATATTCATCACAGGCTAAAAACCTTTGTATTTGTACGAGAAAAAGGATAACTTTCTTTTAGAATACTGTAATTTGACTAATTAAAAGAACAGTTAAGCTAATGATGTTTTATCGGTTGACTGCAATACAAAATTTGCTTCAATGAAAACCGTGTAACATTCTTGTTAATGTTTTCAGTTATAAAACCGTAATGGATAATTAAGTATAGTTTGTTATTAAAAATGAGTTTTTGCATTTCAGGATTATTTTTCTTGTTTAGTTTTCACAGGTACTGTATTTGTGTCTCATCTGTATTATTTTTCATTTCAGACTGGTATCACACAGAAGTGGGAGGCGGCTGGTATGAGCTCTGCTGATGGAGAGTACATAGAGTTTGTCCACTCTGGAACACCTGTACATGTCCTGCTGGACGGTCCAGTAGAGGTGAGGTCAACACATAGTTACATGCTTGGAAATGTTTTTTTTGCATTATTGTAAATTTGTTGATTTGAATAAATGCTTTATTTTGAGTAATTACACCCATGGAAATGACATTTATATAAAACAAATAAACTTAAACAAATGTGCTCATATCTATAATAAATAATGTGTAAGTCATCAAACTCACTATCATAACTTACAAATATCAAATTAAGTTCTACAGGAACTATTATAGGTATTTTTAAAATTTTATTTTTTGGCAAATAGGGGTTTTTGTCCCTTGCTTTATAACATTAAAGGGATATTTTAGGTATTGTCTTCAGATTTTTAAAATGTTGTCATGGATACTGCCCTTGTCTTCCAGGCCTGGCTGTGTGACATAGAGAGGACCATGCGGACCACCCTCAAGGACGTGCTGAAGCAGTGCCGCGCGGCGCTGAAGAAGAGTCTGAGTAAGAGAGACAAGTGGGTGCGAGAGTGGTGTGGACAGATGTGTATTACGTCCAGTCAGATGCAGTGGACACAGGACGTGACTAAAGCTCTGGCTACCTCTAAAGAGAGGGGAGATAAGAAGGCTTTGAAGAGCTTAAAGAAGAAACAGGTGTGTATAGATTGGTTTTTATACTTAGAGCAAATTTGTGTTTAATGGAAACAGAATATCAAATATTTATGATGTGCAAAGAAGAAGAAAGGCAATATATAAATAATATGAAAGCCATGAGAATAAAATATAATCAAAAGAAATGCAAAGTTTTTATTAAAGTGGTATTCCTTGTTTCAAGATTATTAACAAAATCATAGCATGAAAATGGCCTACAATGAAGCACTTTTAATGTCCCCAGGTCTCCATGCTGTCCAAGTTCTCAGAAGCCATCCGTGGCAACCTCACCAAGATCCAGCGTCTAAAGATTGTTGCCTTGGTAACCATTGAGGTCCATCAGCGTGACATCATAGAACAGCTGATCAAGAGAGGCGTCAATGATGTCACGGCATTTGAGTGGCTCAGTCAGCTCAGGCTTTACTGGGAGAAGGTGAGGAATTTGTAAGAGACTGACTTAGCCAAAATACAGGGCTTGTTTTTAAATAAGATTTATAAAGTGGCCTATTTTTTTTCCATCATAAGTACCATGTATATGAGTACTGTAAAGATAGTCAGTCAGATCTTTCACTTCCAAACATTAGATGTTAATACTGTAGTTTGATTTGTCTTGGGAGTATGTTAACACCCTGACACATTCATTCTATTTCTGTCTCTAGGATGTGATAGATGACTGTGTAGTGAGACAGACCAACACCAGTTTTCAGTATGGATACGAGTACCTTGGCAACTCGGGACGTCTGGTCATCACACCCCTGACAGACAGGTACTGTATATATACACATGATACATATAGTACTGTACAGCTATAGTTTCTAATATGATCTTATTTTCCCAGGTATTATAGATAAATTATCAATTATTTAATGTTTAACCATCTTCTCGATCCTGTTAAGCTGTGTATGTCTGAATTGTGCCTCTGTCTAATAACTTGCTTTTGATTCCGGCCAATCTTTGGTGACCAACTTTGAATGACCTACTTTCTATTTTTAGATGTTACATGACCTTGACCACTGCCCTCCACTTACACAGAGGAGGTAGCCCCAAGGGGCCTGCAGGAACAGGAAAGACTGAGACCACCAAGGATTTGGGCAAATCCCTGGGAAACTACGTCATTGTGGTGAACTGCTCAGAGGGCCTGGATTACAAGTCTATGGGGAGGATGTTCTCTGGATTAGCTCAGGTATAGTTTGTAATTAACTGCTCCCAGGGTCTGGACTACAAGTAATAGACTTATCAGAAAAAACAGTCTTTGTATATGTATTCCACAATCTGTCCATATTTTGATCAGGTTTATGAGTATTATTGACCTATGCTGTATATGCCACATTTATTTACCTTCACAGACTGGAGCCTGGGGCTGTTTTGATGAGTTCAACCGTATCAACATTGAGGTGTTGTCAGTGGTGGCGCAGCAGATTCTCTCCATCTTGTCTGCCCTGGCGGCGGCCTCCAGGAGGTTTGTGTTTGAGGGAAGAGAAATCAACCTGCAGTGGTCTTGTGGCATCTTTATTACCATGAATCCAGGTAGGGAAACTGCTGTCTTAACACTGACTGAAAGTGATTTGTTCTTAATGTGGCAAATAATGTCAGAAGCACTTCATAAGATACTTGTTTTGGAAACCACAAACATTTATTTTAATGAAAAAACATTCAGAATAACTTTTCTCAACTTTCTCAAAGATCCAAATATTTAGATCAAGGCTGTTAATGAAATTATGAGATTCAGTATGGTACCATAAACTTGAAAGTAATTTGTTAATTCTCCCCTTCTGTCTCCAGGTTATGCTGGTCGTACAGAGCTACCAGACAACTTGAAATCCATGTTCCGGCCCATCTCTATGGTTGTCCCTGACTCCAACCTCATTGCTGAGATCACACTGTTTGGAGAGGGATTCAACAACACCAAGGTAATAAACTGGGTTAAAAGTGACAGAGTGATCCAAGTATTGAAAGGTCATCAATAGAAATGGATAATTTATTTGTGATAACCTTCCTTAATGTACTGTGAATACAGGTTATATTATATTATTGTGCAGATGTGCTAAACTTATAAAAAATGATAATGATAAATTATGACAGATATGTAAATAAAAAAGTAAATAAATGAACAAATAAATAAATCTACTTCCTCACAGGTCTCTGTCTCTGTACAGTCTAACTGTCCAACATATTTCTATAGTTTAAGTTTGGATGTTTCCTATACATGTCCCCCTTATTTCTGTTCCCTACAGGTGCTGGCTAAGAAGGTGTTCACTCTGTATAGTTTGGCAGTTCAACAGCTGTCCAAGCAGGACCATTATGACTTTGGTCTCAGAGCTCTGGTCTCTGTGCTGAGATATGCTGGGAGAAAGAAGAGATCTAACCCCAACATGCCTGATGAAGAGGTAAGGTCAAAGTAGAAGGTCATGAATATGTGTCAAGGTCATTTGCTGAGGTCAAGGCCATCTATGTGCATAGATTAAGTTCTATAAACAGTGCTAAGTTTAAAAGAATCCTGGTCTGCCTTATGGAGCCTTTGTCAAATACATGTCTCAAATGTACACCAGGAAATATAAATATGTCCAACATATACAAATCTCTCAAACTTTCAAGAATGTTCATACCACTTTGCCATTGAGTATGATGTATTTCAAATTACCATATGTTTCATATCAAATATATAATGAAGTGCTGTATTTTTGTGATATTTTTAAAGGAAGGTTGTAATTTTGTTTCCAGCTTCTGTTGCTGTCTATGAAGGACATGAATGTGGCCAAGATGACAGCTGTAGACTTGCCTCTGTTTAATGGCATTGTGTCTGATCTGTTTCCTGGTGTAGACCTGCCAACCATTGACTACTCCAAGGTAATGTGGCCCCCTTCTGTAGCTTATCTGGGGCTTGAATATAATGATATATTTGTAGAGCAATGGCCTGGCTTACATGGCCAGACAGCTGGAGTGCTGAACATTATATTGAACCATCTTTTTTTTATGTGTAAGATTTAAAAAAAAAAGAGGGAGAGCTTATTGCATTGATAGAAGTCTGTTATAAAATGCCAAACCTGACTTAAATTCACTACAAAAATAGTGCTTGATATTCACAGAAGACTTGATCAGAGTAGTGTTCTTAGGTTTGTGTCCACTATGGATGTATAAAGAAGTAAAAGAATAAAAAAAAAAGACTAATTCTCTCCTTTTCCTGTGCCATCAGATGAAGACAGCCATAGAGGAGGAGCTGCGTGCCTTTGGTCTCCAGACTATTCCTAACACCATCACCAAGGTGATCCAGCTGTACGAGACCAAGAACTCACGCCACTCTGTTATGATAGTCGGGAAGACGCTGTCTGGGAAGTCAGTGACATGGAGAGTCCTGCAGGCTGCCATGGGGAGACTGCACAAGGCTGGAGACCCTGCGTTTAATATGGTGAAGGTGAGTGTGTTAGGTGTGACTCAGTGTGCTGGGTGAGACAGGTTCAGTATGGTGAGGTTGTGTGTGTTGTGACTGAGTGTGTTAGGTGTGACTGAGTGTGCTGGGTGAGTCATGAATTTAAAATGGTAATAGTTAGTGTGTCAGGTTTATGGTGTCAGCAAGCAGTGTGCGTGTGTAGGGTGCTCATAATAAAACTCAGTTGCAAACTGAAAAGGCAAATTGACTAGGTTCGTTGAACATTTCTTTATATTAATAGTATGATGCACATAGTACCATTGTGTCTGATGTGTAAAAAAAGTTGGATGGAATTTGTCAGTTGAATATGTACAGAAGTATGCTAAACCAGTAATCTCACAATTTATTCCAGGAATTCCCCATCAACCCCAAGGCTGTGTCGCTAGGAGAGCTGTATGGAGAGTTTGACCTGAACACCAATGAGTGGGCTGATGGTGTGCTCTCTAGTGTGATGAGGACAACTTGTGCAGGTACAGGGATATACTGTGTGTGTGTGTGTGCACGTGCATGCGTGCGTGCGTGTGTGTGCACACTATTATACAATATAAGATATCAAGTAATTACCATACATAGATGAATCCAGTAGTACATATAGTGATAATAACAAGAATACAGCAGTCATATCAGAGCACATCAAGTGTAAGGTTTAAAAGAGTCTAATATGTCCTGTTGTTCCTGCACTGTCAGATGAGAAGCCAGAGGAGAAGTGGATTCTGTTTGATGGTCCTGTGGACACACTGTGGATTGAGAGCATGAACTCTGTGATGGACGACAACAAGATTCTCACCCTGATCAATGGAGAGCGTATTGGAATGCCTGAACAGGTCAGATAATTAACTCTGTGACATATATCTTGTTTTTTAGAGATCTTGTAATATATTTAATATAAGTTAGTATGAAAAAGGAAGGGCAGGGGGAAATACCTATGTCTTTTTGGCAGGAAAACATCCAATGTTAATTGAAATTTGATCTTGGTTCTATACCATTTCTCAAATTCACTTTACCAAGAGGGTAGAAAAGTAAAAAAACTTTCCTATGGAAAGCCCTGAATGGACTCCATTGTTATGAATCTTAATCCCAAACCATTTTCTATATGAAGTAAATTATTATTGTATTATTGTATATTATCATTGACCTCTATTCATACTAGTGCTTTTCCTCTCCTATAGGTGTCACTGCTGTTTGAGGTGGCTGACCTGTCTGTAGCCTCCCCAGCCACTGTGTCAAGGTGTGGCATGGTGTACTATGACTATGTAGACCTAGGCTGGAGACCTTATGTTGACTCCTGGCTGGATAAGAAACCAGATAAAACAATGGTGGAGGAACTGAAGAGACTGTTTGAGAAGTACATTGTGAAGATCATGGAATTTAAGAAACAGCAGTGTAAGGAGCTGATCCCCATTGCTGAGCTGAATGGAGTGATTTCACTGTGCAAGCTGTTTGATTGTATGGCCAAACCAGAACTAGGGGTAAGTAGACTAAGGAGATGATGGAAAACAAGAGGACTTGTTTAACTGGAGTATTTGTGATTGGAAACAAAAGGAAGAAAATGTGTAGGATATGAAGTTGGTAGTACAAACCATATCTTTAGGTTTAACAGATAAAGTCATGCAATAGTTGTGTCTGTGACCTTCAGTGTGACTGATATTGATAATGGAATGATGACCTCAAATTTTCAATTTTTCCAGTGTGATCCCAGTGACCAGGAGAACTATGTCAGGATGATAGAGCTGTACTAGCAATTCCAATCTTGATATTAACAATGTAATATTGACTTTAACATTCCCATATTTCCAGTGTGATCCCAGTGACCAGGAGAACTATGTCAGGATGATAGAGCTGTACTAGCAATTCCAATCTTGATATTAACAATGTAATAATTGACTTTAACCTTCCCCTATTTCCAGTGTGATCCCAGTGACCAGGAGAACTATGTCAGGATGATAGAGCTGTACTTCCAGTTCTGTATGATCTGGTCTATCATGGGTAGCGTGGACGAGGAGGGACGTAAGAGGATTGACAACTACTTCCGTGAGATGGAGGGCACATTCCCCAACAAGGACTCCATCTATGAGTACTTTGTGGACCCTAAGAGTAAGACGTGGGTCCACTGGGAGGAGAGACTGAGGAGTGGATGGAAGTATAACCCAAGGTAATGCTGAACTGTTGTCTGGTAGAACTCAGTTGAATTCTCTCTCTCTCTCTCTCTATATATATATATATATAGCTATTGCCATGTAAAACCTACAAGATAATCTTTTTCACAACAAAAAAGTCATAAAAGCAAATATGTCATCATGAAAAAAAGAAAAAAATACTTTAACTATAAAAAACTATAATTTCTCACTATTCCAGTGTACCGTTCTACAAGATCATTGTCCCCACAGTGGACACGGCCCGCTATAACTTCATTGTGTCATCTCTGATAGAGGCCCAGCACCCTGTCACCTTGGTGGGACCAGTGGGGACAGGGAAGACCTCTGTGGTACAGAGTGTCCTGGCCAAACTGGACCCCAAGCTGTATAATGTGCTGATAGTGAACATGTCTGCACAGGTGAGGAAACAATATAGCTTTATAACTGGTCCTAAATGCTAATTTGAGGGTGTAAATTGGCATTTATGACCAGGTAGAGCCTCTGTGCTGCTTATCCAAACAATTTTGCAATGCTGATGTTAACACAATTATTTTATTCCATTCAGATTTTGTAATGTCAAATGTTATAAGTATCCTCTAAATTGGTCTTAAAAACATATTTGAGTACCCCTCTTTAACTTGATTGTGCAGACAAGTTTATAGTATATACATATTTTATGATCACAGACTCCGATAATTTCATTCTGTGATAAATTGAATGTGAAAATATGTAATAATTACTGTGCATGCATAATACATTATAAACACAGAGATAATTTCTTTCTGCAGACGTCCTCCAACAACGTCCAGGACATCATTGAGAGCCGTGTGGAGAAGCGGACTAAAGGCGTCTACGTCCCTATTGGTGGGAAGAAACTCCTGACTTTCATGGATGACCTTAACATGCCCGCCAAGGACCTGTTTGGCTCCCAGCCGCCGCTAGAGCTGATCAAGTTGTGGTTAGACTACGGGTTCTGGTATGACAGGCAGAAACAGACTGTAAAGTTTGTCAAGGTGAGAGATATTGCTTGTATTTTCAGTTATACTGGTTTGTGCTTTGTTGATAACAGTTTCAGTGCTTAATGTCTAGAGTTACTTATTCATATAATGCAAGTTCCAAGCTTGTGAACCTTTTTTGTTTTGATGTTGTCTACAGGCAGACACAGAAAAAAAAAGATGGTATGATTAATCTGCAGACACAGAGGAACAGATATGATAATTTCAGATGAATGATATATACAGTGAGACATTCAGTGTATTACAGATAAATAATGCTGTTCTCATCCTTGTAGGACATGTTCCTGCTGACTGCCATGGGTCCCCCTGGTGGTGGCCGCACACAGATCTCCACCAGACTGCAGAGCAAGTTTAACCTGCTCAACATGACCTTCCCACAGGTAGGCAGTTGCTCCTGTCTTGTCTAGTGCTGATATCTATTATTTGTTTATGTCTTGCTTTGTGACCATTGAGTAGATGTAGATGAAATTTGTCAGGCAGAGGATAAACATTTTTTTAAAAGAAAATAATTTTTGTTAGAACTCCCAGAATCCAGAATGAAGATAAAAGCTGTTTGTTTTCTGTTTTGCTAGGACTCCCAGATCAAGCGTATCTTTGGCTCTATGATCAACCAGAAGCTACAAGACTTTGAGGAGGAGGTCAAGCCAATAGGAGATGTGGTCACTCAAGCCACCCTGGAGCTGTACCAGGCCATTGTTGGACGCTTCCTGCCCACTCCCACCAAAATACACTACCTGTTCAACCTGAGAGATATCTCCAAGGTAATGGAGAAATGTTTGCTTCAACCCTACACCCCCCCCCCCCCACCATGTTTATCCCCCGAAGAAAAAATCTTATAGGTGACCTATAGGACTCCTATAAGATATTTTGAATTTTGGTTTTTTGTGTAGAATTTTAAACAGTTCTTTGTGTTTATGTTTTTCATACAAAAGATGATTGCTGCACATTATTATAATGTCATCTGTTGTTTTTCTAGGTTTTCCAGGGCATGCTGAGAGCCAATAAGAACTACCATGACACTAAGGCTGCCATCACTAGGTTATGGATCCATGAGTGCTTCAGGTGAGGTTGACATCCATAGCTAAACCTGCTAATACTAATATTAACTTATGTACCCATTGACATATCTTTACTCCATGGTTACAGGTTTGAGATTTTATAATTGGTGTTGTCATTCCAGGGTATTCTCTGACCGTCTTGTGGATACGTCTGACATGGAGGCATTCATTGGCATGCTGAGTGACAAACTTGGGACACTGTTTGATACCACTTTCCATGGGATATGTCCCAGCAAACAGCCTCCAATATTTGGTGAGGAATCCTTTCTTTGATGGAGAATGCTTTGTAATTTATGGAAAGATATTAATCAGTCATTCTACCAAGAAGTAACTCTCTCACTAGTCTGCCATTACATATGACCCCACTCGTCTCTAAATTCCTCTAAATCATACTTTGTTTTATGCTTTATCACAAGAATTTCGACTAAATTGGATAAATCACAGCTCTTATTTAAAAACTTTTCCATGTGACTATAAGAACCCAATGCGTTTATTACCATGGCCAAGAAGTACTACTTCTCTTATTTTCTAATTACAAACTTCTCCAGGTGATTACATGAACCCAGACAATGTATATGAGGACATTGCAGACATAGGCAGTCTGAAGCACCACATGACAGAGATGTTGGAGGAGTATAATAACTCCCCAGGGGTCGTCCCCATGGACCTGGTGCTGTTCAGAGATGCTATAGAACATGGTCAGTGATAACCTGAGATATTGAAACAGAAATTTGAAAATCATTAACTATAGTAAAAGGCTATAAGAGTTCAAGAGAAGCATTATCTTATATTTTTAGAAGGACATTTTACAGGTGTCAATAAATTGATAAGAAATGAATGAAATAGATGTATAACGTATATATTTGTATATTTCAGTGTCTAAGATAGTGCGTGTAATCCGCCAGCCCCTGGGGAACATGTTACTAATAGGTATAGGAGGCAGTGGAAGACAGAGTATGTCTAGACTGGCTGCCAGCATCTGTGAATACAAGACATTCCAGATTGAAGTGTCTAAACACTACAGAAAACAGGAGTTCAGGGATGGTAAGTTTTGACAACAAGTATCTGAAAATACAAGACATTCCAGATTGAAGTGTCTAAACACTACAGTAATCAGGGATGGTAAGTTTGCAGGTGAACTTAAGAGGGAAATGGGGTCATTTTTTATTCAAAATAATGCCAGTTTTGTGATTTATCGGCATACTGTCTCAAGAATGTGCTAGCCTAGGCATTTTTAAGTTCCATTTGTTAGGTTAATTCTAAATTAAACATTGAGAGTCATAAGATTCAATTTACCTTGTTCTCAGTGTCATAAACAACTGGAATTGCCTGTATCTCTGTCTGTATGAACCCACACTTACTCTTCCAGACTTGAAGCGCCTGTACTGGCAAGCAGGAGTAGAGAACAAGCCCACGGTGTTCCTGTTCACAGACACACAGGTGGTGGAGGAGGGTTTCCTGGAGGACATCAACAATATCCTCAGCAGTGGAGAGGTGCCCAATCTCTACAAACCTGATGAGTTTGAGGAGGTCAGTGTCAGAGTCCTTTTCACCAGGGAAGGCGAGATATTCAGACATGCTGAAAACTTTTAACACAGCTTTATATTTGGACAGGCAGCTGTGAAAATTTTACTTAATAAAATGATTTGTTTCCTGTCTGACAGTTAATTCAAAATGCCAATTTTTAACATTGTTGAATGTGCTTTGGACCAATTTAACACAATTGTCTACAGTTCCTTGAAATATTTATCAACAGTTTCCGGCTGCCATGATATTACATAATGTGTTTAGAGGTCTGTATATGATACTGTAGAAGATGAACAATGTACATCTATAGAGGTATATAATAAGTGCTTCCTGACTATGATGTTGTTAACTGTGCTCAGCTAGGCAGATACTTATGTCTATTATCAATGTTGGTTTTGTAGGTCTTTTAAATGAAACTTCCCCAATTGTTTCAGGTGCGCACTGCTCTGGCTGACATAGCTAAGAAAGAAGGAATAGATGATACGCCATCTAACATCTTTGCATTTCTCATTGATCGTGTGCGTGCTAATCTCCACGTGATTTTGTGCATGAGTCCAGTGGGAGAGCCTTTCAGGTGATGCATCTATACACACGCACTCTCACAAACTCTCTCTCTCTCTCTCTCTCTCTCTCTCTCTCTCTCTCTCTCTCTCGTCCACATGCACACACTTGCCTGTTATATTGTGACATGAATGCAAAGATACAATACTGTTCTCATAGTACAAAAGTCAATACACACCTCTCAAAATAAGATACCATTTGATATCTTCTGCAGTTGAAGATTCTGTGGCATTAATTTGCTGGTGTATACATTATATATAGAGAGAGCTTGAATGATACAGTACTGTGAATGCTACTGAATCAGGTACGATGCCTTGACTGCATTTTAAGTGCAGCAGGTAGTATGTGGTGTTGATATCAGTTATGGAACACTTAAAATCACACTTTGTTGGTGTATTTCTCTACAACAGAATCTTATCTATTAGTATATATATGTTACAGGAACCGTATTCGTATGTACCCAGCCTTTGTAAACTGTACCACCATTGATTGGTTCAGTGAGTGGCCGCTAGACGCCCTGCTGGAGGTGGCTGGCAAGTACCTTGAGACAGTGGACCTGGGCGGGGAAGAAGGGGTGAGTGAACCATGGAATTCATACATGTTCTGTCTATTCTACTGAGAGTTTCAGATCCATCGCTTGCCATCTTGTTCATTGTCTAATTTCCATATCTGCCTGCCTATAAGAACAGGGCCCCATTGATATGGAGATTAGTATATGAAGAAGCTAGCAGGTCTTGGTATGAGTCTGAAGGGACTCAGTACAGAACTGATGGCTTAGGTGCAGAGATAATACTTGAGAAGAATTGGGAATAAAGTGGTTATGTTGTACGAATTAATATAATATGATGATCACATAAGACATACTCACTTTTCCATAAAGTAGAAGAGGTGGGATGTGGGGGGTTGGGGGGGGGTACACTTTTTTTGTTTACCATCTTGCATAGTACATATGTTTTGTTATATTATTCCACCATGTTGTAGCACATTACTTTAAATGTTTATACATATTGTAGAATAAATGAAATTTATGTTGTATCACTTCACCTAAATCTCTCACACTTATTGTAAAATATCAATGTTTTGTTTGAGTACAAAGATCTAGCATAATTTCACCATGTTGTTGCCGTTCACATTCATGTTGTTAATGTTGCACTAACAATCACGCCATATTTGTTGTCAAAGTTGTTAAGATGTCTGCTGTATACATATTTTGCAGCTGAGTGTCATTGTTGTTAATTGTCATTGTTGTCATCTTTGTTGTAGTCTTCACGCTTTATTCACACTTGTCACATTGCTCTCTTTTGCAGGAAAAAAGAGTGAGTCAAATAAAAATATTTTACAGAAATGCATGTAATTTGCATTGAGTTGCTGCATTCTTTAATCATAGTGCAGTAGATAGATAGGACTCATATAAAGATCACATATTTTCAGATTTTATAGAGATGTTCACTGAATTTCTCTCCAACTTGATTTACATGTACGTTATTGGAAAAATGTTCATTTGTAAAATTTCATTTGACTTGAGTTTCACTCTGAGTTAGATATCTTTGGGAATAAACCCTAAAATTTTCGATCATCACTTATACACAAGTGATGGAGAAACTCAGTGAATATCTTTCTGAGTTCTAGGTAGAATTTTTACTCTAGGATCCAACAGATAGAATAGTATGCATGCTAGATTTATGTATAATCCTGCTGCGGCATGCTAATGAATAGGATTAGGTAGAGTTTAGGTAGCATGTTTTTTACCAAAAATACAAGTTATTTTAATCGGTTTATAATCTGCATGATGCATGTTTCAACTGATTTGTTTCTATGAAAAAGCATTGTTTTTTATATTTTGTGATGGTTCAATATGGCTTGTGTGATGTACAATGCTCAAAACAAATCTGATCTATTATCAGGATTCCATGTGTATTAATTTGGATGATGTATTTGACCTATTTTGAATATCATAGTGAATATGTTTTATGATTCTTGTTTACTTGTGCTGTTGTTTGTGACAATTGTTATGTTTTTAGAACATGATGTGGAGTGATGTTTAGCGGTGAAGGGTTAAGAATAGAGCAGCATATTTTCTTCAGTTGAAAATTTATTGAAAATGCAAACCTTCAATATTTTAATGTCTATCTGAAGATACAGACATTCTATACAGATGTTGACATATTGGTGGTATACAACATATTGGTGGCATACAACATTTTCAATATTTACTATTGACTGAAAAAAAAAATAACTGCTTGTTTTCTTAGTGCATAACTGCTGATGTAATTTATCTCTGGTGTAGGGTGTTCTTTATATTCTATGTAGACTAATATAGCAACTAAAGCTTATTACTACTACTAACTGGAACTACTTCCTGTATTGATGTAGATTCTGTTGCTAGGGTATTGATTACCAGGGGTTAAGAGGTGGTGGATAGCGCTTTTATAGAGATTTGAAGATAAAATAGCTGGTCAGGACATGACACAGTAGGGTTAGAAGTGTGGAGAGGAGAGTTCAGGCCTGTCTGTAGCCAGACATTTATACATGGGGGGGGGGGGGGGTTCTTTTGTTAAAAAGGTAGATCTTTTTACTTTTTTTTTGTTGACCCAAATTTACGTTTGGCATAAAACCAAGGCAAAATTTAGATTCAGAGACTTTTCAACCAAAAGGGTCTTTTTATTCCCCCCATACCCAGAACCCCCCTCACCCTAACCTTGACCCCACCCTTCCCCTTAACCCCATACCCTGACCCCCTCACCTTAACCTTGCTCCCACCCTTCCCCTTAACCCCATGCCCTGAACCCCCCTCCAGTTCTAAACCTCTCCCCTGCCTACTGGCCTGATGTTTTGTCCTATAACTCTAAGTAACAATAGATTGGTTTTTGTGAATCATTCTGCATGTTTTCAGTATGGTATAATGTAAAGTGTGATTATGCATTAATATCATGATAGATTTCATGCATACGTCTTACATATAGATTATTTTCAATTTTGTGGTCCAGGTAAAAGGCAAATTCATCGAGAAAATGCTAAGTTTGAGAAAAGAATGCTTTCTAGTTGCACCTATGAACGTTGCACTCACTGCTTATTTTATACAAAAAGTATATAAAACATTAATGCTTATTGTGGAATTTTATTAATATTAGCAATGAAACAAGGCTTTGACTTACCACTAAGTACAATATTAAATTGCAAGAGACATCACACATGTCTGCTTACATGAAGTGTATACCATGCTGCCAGCTTACATGTAGTCTTTATCTATTGCTAGGACAAGCTCAAGCCCAGTCTAGCCAAGGTGTTTGCCATTATGCACAGGTCTGTCGCAGACTACAGCAAGAAGATGTTAAATGAGATGAAGAGGCACAACTATGTCACTCCTACCAACTACCTGGAGCTGGTGGCTGGATACAAGAAGTCAGTACCTTCACCTTAGACAACTGCGTATTTGTTGTAAAAAATTAAGCTGATTATTGATATAAAAAGTGTCGATCTGCTGATAATAAATCTTGAATAGCTGTGAGTATTTTGAGGTGTATAGATTCTCAATTTAACATATATTTATAAAATTTTCTCATTATATGCATTAATAAATGATTTTTTTTTTTTTTGCAATCTTACTACAAATAGGAACCACACCAATGATTGTTACCCCTTATCTTTGAATTAGATAGGAAGAGAGTTTGACATCTTACCAAGCCCTCCTATTTTTTTTATTTCCTGTTTAAACTTACAGTTACTATATCTAATTGCTGTACATTTTCTAATCCCTCCAGGCTCCTAGCAGAGAAGAACAAGGAGTTGGGAGATGCATGTAACAAGTTGAAGAACGGCCTCAGTAAGATTGACGACACTCGTACTAAGGTGGAGAAGATGTCCATTGACCTGGAGGAGGCCAAGACCAAGGTGGCACAGTTCCAGAAGGAGTGTGAAGAGTACCTGGTGGTCATTGTACAGCAGAAGAGAGAGGCTGATGAACAGCAGAAGGTAGCTAGTGTGTAGACACACAGGGTGCTCTCCAGATGTTATCAGGAGGGGAGGAAGAGGGGGGATCTGCAAAAGATTGTTCTCAGAGACATGTTAATAATGCTCACATTTTGTCCAATATTTACACAGTTCTTACGAACCTGTTGTTCTCACCATTTAATGCCGCATGTAAGTACCTTCTGATAAAAAAAAGGTTAATTTGAAAACATTGAAGAAGACAACAGATCGAGGCTCTATCTGGTTCTGGTGATGTTTTTACTAATCTGGTGAAGCTGAGTGAGATGTTAAGACAACAGTACAAAAATCTGAGGTAGTTTTACGGTATCTTCTTGCCTTCCAGTCTGTAGCCCAGAAGAGTGAGAAGATTGGAGAGGAGGAAGTAAAGTGTCAACATATGGCTGACCTGGCCCAACATGACCTGGACGAGGCTCTCCCTGCACTGGAGGAAGCTGTCAAGGTAATAACATGTCATAGAATACATTGGTCACTAAGCTTGTCAATTCTGTTGAAACAGAACATGCTGGTCGCAGAGCCTATCATTGCCTTATATTTGTTGATTTCTTGTTTCATACCTAATGGCTGAAATTTATCTCTGTTGATGCACAATTTATAGGCTAAAATCAAGGCAGAGCAGTGAGTTGCAGCCCTGCACATTGTTAATAAATGAATTAATATATTATGTCATTAACAATAAAGCATGCCAGATCTTCTAATATCATGCTAACATGCTACCTGCAGGCTCTAGAGTCTCTGAACAAGAAAGACATGACAGAGATCAAGTCATATGGACGTCCTCCACCTCTGGTAGAGAAGGTCATGGAGGCTGTGATGATCCTCAGAGGACAGGAACCCACCTGGGCAGAGTCTAAGAAACAACTGGGTAACTGAACTCACTTCTCTGTTAGGTGGTCTTTAAACTACCTTAATTCTAGAAAACTTAATTGGTCTTTAGGGGCACTTCTTGTAGAAGGATTTGGAGTTAAATTGCACTTTTAAGGCAAAGTAAAGAATATCTTCAGTATTTATTACTCCAATATTTTGGTTTCTATGAAGTCACCCTCAGTGAGTGAGTCAACAGGTGGTACAGCAGTCTGTACATGAGGACCTGTCACGTCATTCCAGTGGGAGAAATAAATAAAGGTGTTAGAAATTTGTGGGTATTCACATATCAGTCTTCCTTCCTAACCCTGTCTTATTTTCAGGTGATGGTAACTTCATCAAACAGCTGATGAACTTTGACAAGGACAACATCACCGACCGCGTGTTGAAGAAGATTGGCCAGTATGTGGCTCAACCTGACTTTATGCCTGAAATCATTGGTCGTGTGTCCCTGGCTGCCAAGTCTCTGTGTATGTGGGTTAGAGCAATGGAGGTGTATGGTAGGATCTACAGGTGAGCTAAGTCTCTGTGTATGTGGGTTAGAGCCATGGAGGTGTATGGTAGGATCTACAGGTGAGCTAAGTCTCTGTGTATGTGGGTTAGAGCCATGGAGGTGTATGGTAGGATCTACAGGTGAGCTAAGTCTCTGTGTATGTGGGTTAGAGCCATGGAGGTGTATGGTAGGATCTACAGGTGAGCTAAGTCTCTGTGTATGTGGGTTAGAGCCATGGAGGTGTATGGTAGGATCTACAGGTGAGCTAAGTCTCTGTGTATGTGGGTTAGAGCCATGGAGGTGTATGGTAGGATCTACAGGTGAGCTAAGTCTCTGTGTATGTGGGTTAGAGCCATGGAGGTGTATGGTAGGATCTACAGGTGAGCTAAGTCTCTGTGTATGTGGGTTAGAGCCATGGAGGTGTATGGTAGGATCTACAGGTGAGCTAAGTCTCTGTGTATGTGGGTTAGAGCCATGGAGGTGTATGGTAGGATCTACAGGTGAGCTAAGTCTCTGTGTATGTGGGTTAGAGCCATGGAGGTGTATGGTAGGATCTACAGGTGAGCTAAGTCTCTGTGTATGTGGGTTAGAGCCATGGAGGTGTATGGTAGGATCTACAGGTGAGCTAAGTCTCTGTGTATGTGGGTTAGAGCCATGGAGGTGTATGGTAGGATCTACAGGTGAGCTAAGTCTCTGTGTATGTGGGTTAGAGCCATGGAGGTGTATGGTAGGATCTACAGGTGAGCTAAGTCTCTGTGTATGTGGGTTAGAGCCATGGAGGTGTATGGTAGGATCTACAGGTGAGCTAAGTCTCTGTGTATGTGGGTTAGAGCAATGGAGGTGTATGGTAGGATCTACAGGTGAGCTAAGTCTCTGTGTATGTGGGTTAGAGCCATGGAGGTGTATGGTAGGATCTACAGGTGAAACGACTTAATGGTTGATAGATATAAAATGAACATAGTAATCAGACAATTTATAAGACTGAGTAGAGTTCTTAGACTACTTGTATTTTCAGTAGACTGGCTCCAAGATGGAGCTATTGTCCTCATATAGACTAAATTTGAGGTCTTGGATAAATCTAGACACTTAATTCACATGAATTCCTTCTGTCACCAGGGTTGTGGAGCCCAAGAAGCAGCGTCTCAATGCCGCCATGTCCACTCTGAAGGAGAAACAAGCCGCCCTGGCTGATGCCAAGAACAAACTGGCAGAGGTTGGAACCTAAAATATGCTCTGTGGCATACATTTCTTTCTTTCCTTCTTTCTTTCTACCAGTTTATAATGTAACTGTATAATATGTGCAATTCCTGTATTCAAATTAAAAGTATTCTTTAAAAAGGAAAGTAACCTCATCAGCCTTGAGCTTCATTGCTTCTCTCAGAAGTATTAAAACATCATTTTTGCTAGACTTAGGTCAACTTTCCTTTACCTCTTAATTGTACATGTCATTGCTCTCCTGTAGGTTGAAGCCAAGATGGCAGAACTGAAGAAGCAGTATGACGAGAAGCTCGCTCAGAAGGAAGACCTCAGGAAGAAAGCTGAGCAGACAGAACTTATGTTGGACAGAGCAGCAAAACTAGTGTCAGGTTTGGCAGGAGAGAAAGTGCGCTGGGAGAAGACAGTCGGGGTATGTTAGACATGATTTTTTTTTCTAAGGTTTTTAATTTGGATTTATCTGCCTTTTTTCTTGGCGGTTTTCTGCCTAAAGCACCCCATTCCCTCAGTCATCATTTTTGCTGACAACCCAAGTTCATGTCTGATAATTGTCTACTAGAACACTGAGATGATGAAAGTTGTTTGTCTCTACCCCCCCACCCCCCACCCCACCTCCATTCTCCCCTCAGAGTTGAATATCTTGACTTGGAAATTAATGCAGAGGTGTTGATATTCGAATTGTCAATCAAAAATATTCACACCCATTTAAACTAATTTGGTTTGAAGTTATTTATGATATTTGAATATAACCTAAAAGTTCATAATGCTATGTGATATTTGTGTGTTCCCCTAGGAACTGGAAGAAGCTATGGGATATTTGGTAGGAGATTGTTTGGTAGCAGCAGGCTTCCTCTCCTACATGGGGCCCTTCCTGTCTGAGTACAGAGAGGCTATGGTGACCAAGAGTTGGCTGACAGAGGTAACTTAATACAAGGAGTGACTGTAAAAATATTGGCTTTGTATATGGTATGCCTTATCACCACTGTCAAATGAACTACAAACTTGTTCAAATATTTGATTTTTTTCAAGGAACATCACTGAAAGATGCTTAGGAAACACTCTTTTACACAATCCCAAGAGCTTTGGAATTTTCCATCTTTTCAATCATTGTCAACATAACATTGTTTTTGACAATATAGCAAATTGATTTCAGTCAAATAGTGGGTACTAATAAGTACCATGTTTTTCCACCTCCAGATTAGTAAACTCCAGATTCCATGCTGTGCCGACTTTGACTTCTGTGCCTTCATGGTGAAACCAACACAGGTCAGAGACTGGAACATCCAAGGCCTTCCTAACGATGCCTTCTCCACGGAGAATGGTGTCATCGTCACCCGAGGGAACCGCTGGCCGCTGATGGTGGACCCCCAGGGGCAGGCCATCAAGTGGATCAAGAATATGGAGATGTCCAAGGTGAGAAAACTCTGGATCCAACAGACATGCTGTTGTGAAAATGTTCCTTGGCTGAAGGACTTTAAGCCAGATTGACTGCATGTAATATCAATATGGCACATTTTAAAATTTTTGCCTGTCCTGTTGGACTGTCTGAACACAATTTTCCCCAGGTTCTTGAAAATTTTATCAGTCATTTGTGATAGGATCAAGATGGTATGACACTGTTACAAGACTTTCATAGTGCAGTAGTTGAGACAGTGTAGTTAAGACAGTTGCAGCAGTTGAGACAGTCTCTTGCTTTATGTGTTCTAGGGTCTGAAGATCATAGATCTCCAGCAGAGTGACTACATGAGAACTCTGGAGACCAGTGTCCAGTACGGACTGCCTGTTGTCCTGCAGAATGTCCAGGAGAGACTGGACCCCTCACTGGACCCTATACTGACCAAGGCTGTCAAGAAGATGGGTAAGATATTTAACAACAGAATAGCCTCATATGGGTTTTTATGAAGATGAAGAGCATTGAAGTAGTCTGTTATAGCCTTAATCATATGAGATATGAATTGACATCCTTTTGGAGAATTTCCTTCATTTTATGTGGAAAATTAGAAAAAAAAACAGGATAAGTATTTAGAATATTAATAAAAATGATAATTGAACAGTATATGAACAGAACAGGTATAAAGTTTAATATCACGTGGATATCCCCAGGTATCACAGCTATAACATACGTCTCTTAGGTTGCTCTCATCTCAGTTCTAACATATGTCTGTTTAAGTTGTTCTCATCTTTCTCCTGTAGGTGGCGCCTGGATGATCAAGCTGGGAGACAAAGAGGTGGAGTACAACTTTGACTTCCGCTTCTACATCACCACCAAGCTCAGCAACCCTCACTACGCTCCAGAGATTGCTGCCAAGACACAGATTGTCAACTTTGCTGTCAAGGAGCAAGGTGAGAAAATGATAGGCTAAGAAAACTTCAACTCAGAGATCTCTTCAACTGAATACTATATATTTATACGTTTTTACCAGCTTGAATTGACTACTAAATATTTAAGGTAAAATATCAATATTTCAAAGTAAGTGATCAAAAATGTTCATTAGCTTGGTAGTTGAATCATAAACAACAATTTCTTTTGTGAAGAAGGCCTCCAACAGAGTTGGCCATTTGCCAATGGTGAAAAAAATCCAAGTTTATGCTAAATAATCATTGCTTATGAATAATCATAGGGTCTGGTGTCAACTGTCTGGAGTTCTAAGCTCATTTATTCTGTGTCCTGAGTTCTAACATCATTTTATTCTGCCCAGGTCTGGAGGCTCAGTTGTTGGGTATTGTGGTGAGAAAAGAGAGACCAGAGTTGGAGGAACAGAAGGACAGCTTGGTGATCAACATTGCTGCTGGAAAGAAGAAAATTGCAGAACTGGAAGATGAGATCCTGAGGTGAGATTTGCTTGTGAAGGTTTGGTAGAGGATATTATTTCTGCCATTCTCTTTATTAATAGTATTTTGTTGTTGAATTTTTTTTATTTTTAAGGTAAGAGTTGAATTTAATTACTTTCACATTAACTGTTAATTCAGTGCCATAAAATCTTTTATTGAGATTTAAGATAATTTAATTCAAATTTTAAGCAGACTGACATCAAGTTGTAAAACTGTATAAATATTCCCCCCAGGTTGCTGAATGAGACCAAAGGTTCCCTGCTGGATGATGAACAACTGGTGAACACTCTGCAGACATCTAAGACCACCTCACAGGAAGTTACGGAACAGCTCCAGATTTCTGAGCTCACAGAGGTCAAGATTGACGCCGCCAGAGAGGTATGCTTCCTTTCAGTCTTGAACCATTATGAAGCAAGACATGAAAACAAATGGAGCATTTTATTAAATGCTACAAGGAAAAACAAGCTTTTTTGTTTGTTTGTTTGTTTGTTTGTTTTTTTACTCTGATTGTTAAATTTATCAGCACGTACTCTTAAGATTGTTTGTTAATGTTTTTCTTTATTATAATTGTGTTGGCACATATCTTGGCAGAAGATGCCTGATAAGAACCAATATGGAATTATTTTAATGATTTAACAGTATTCCATATATTTGTGTGTTAAATGAAAAAAAAAATCATGCTGACTACAAAGGTGTAATTTTTCACTGAAATCTGAATTTCTCATGCAGGCATATTTTAATATTTGTGTTTTGTCCCCACTCCAGGGTTACCGTCCATGTGCCCAGAGAGCGTCCATCTTGTTCTTTGTGCTGAATGACATGGGCCGTATTGACCCCATGTACCAGTTCTCTCTGGATGCCTACATTGAACTGTTCAACCTGTCCATTGACAAGTCTCAGAGGAGTTCCAAACTGGAAGAGAGGATTGTTAACCTGAATGAGTACCATACCTATGCTGTGTACAGGTGAGTGTAGAGTACCATACCTATGCCGTGTACAGGTGAGTGTAGAGTACCATACCTATGCCGTGTACAGGTGAGTGTAGAGTACCATACCTACGCCGTGTACAGGTGAGTGTAGAGTACCATACCTATGCTGTGTACAGGTGACTGGCTTTATTCAAAGTGTAGTTTGTAGAATATTATAGAGAATCTTAAGTAAAGTAACGCTTGTAGTTTGTATATGAAATACAATTAATATGATTATAAAGAAGTTTTGTGGAACCAAAAGTGGTATTTCTTCAAATATACATTGTCACTTTTGTTTTTAATTATGGAAAATTATTAAAATATGAGCACATATGCGATTAGAAATATGTAAAAAGTCTTATGATATATAAATGATCTAAACATAAAGCAGCTTCCATGATGTCCTCTGTGTGTGGCTTAAGCCAGGACCAATGTTGTCAACAATGACAGATGTCAGCAATTAGAGTGTTCTATGACTCCAGGTACACATGTCGTGGTCTGTTTGAGCGCCACAAGTTGCTGTTCTCATATAATAACATGACTTCCCCTCAATGTTTCAGATTGAGCAAATTGCTATAATACAATGTTGTATGACTCCAGGTACACATGTCGTGGTCTGTTTGAGCGTCACAAGCTGCTGTTCTCATTCCAAATGTGTGCCAAGATCCTGGAGGCTTCTGGGAAATTGAACATGGATGAATACGCCTTCTTCCTCAGGGGCGGAGTGGTAGGTTTTACCCAGTCAAAGAAAAATATGAATGAATAATGGAAAAGAAATGTGTTGGTCAGTTGTAGACTATGAATTATTGGATCCTTGTGGAAGCAGAGGATGTGAAACGTACTTATAATAGTTTGAGATTTTTTATTTGACATACAGTTAGAATCTAGTTAATATATGATGTAAGTCACTTGTTCCTCATTTGCATTTAAAGTCTTTGAAAGGGCACATCAGATTTGTAGGCAGTTATCTTAATGTGTTTTAGCAATGTCTTGGAACAATGTGGGACAGTAGATAGTTTTAAGTCCAGATAAAAATCACATAAATCTTCATGGTCTAGGTGATGGACAGAGAGAACCAGATGGACAACCCCTGCTCTCAGTGGCTTAATGACAATGCCTGGGATAACATCACGGAGCTGGACAAACTCACCAACTTCCACGGCGTCATCCAGGCCTTTGAGCAGTATCCACGGGACTGGAATGTCTGGTATACCAGCTCTGAGCCTGAGACTGCCGCCTTGCCTGGTAAGATCTGCTTCTACTTCTTCCCTCTTTCTCTCTCTCTATCCTTGCATTTTACCTTCTTTATTTCTATGTATGTATACAGCTCAGTTTTTGTAGACTAAGTTGCAAAAAAAAGGAATCTTTCCTTTCAGCTCTCAGTTCTTCTTTAGTTAGTTTAAATTTTCATTAGATGAGATAATCTTGGTGTTTCTGTTATATAATAGGTGAATGGGACAACTCTTGCAATGAGCTCCAGCGCATGTTGATTGTGCGCTCCCTGCGCCCTGACCGTGTGTCTTTCTGCTCCACATCCTTCATCATCAACAACCTGGGGTCAAAGTTCACGGAGCCGCCAGTATTGGACATGCAGGCAGTGGTGGAAGATTCCACGACCAAGTCTCCACTGATCTTTGTGCTCTCCCCTGGAGTGGTAGGTGTCACCTGGAGACAGAGTTAGTGGACAGCATTTAGAAACTGTGTGTTGTGAATATCGCAGTGTATGCCGATCTCTTAGTTGACTTTATCATGTTGATATAAATTAAATTTATTGACCTTATTGCAGTCTTGCATATTATTTATAAATAGTGTTATGATTGAGTAATTCAGAAATGCCCAGCAATGCCAAAGTCAATCTACCTATATGCTACAAGTTCTTTTAAATTTACACTTTGACTTGTGAAGTTTCTCTATCAGCTATCTGTCAATAAGATAATTGTAAATAAATATTATAACAATGTTTACCTCACTCCTCAGGATCCCACCAGTTCTCTGCTACAGTTGGCAGAGGAAAATTGTATATAATTGTATATAAATATTATTACAATGTTTTTCTCATTCCTCAGGATCCCACTAGTTCTCTGCTACAGCTGGCAGAGGCGCGTGGTATGGCGCACAGGTTCCATGCTCTGTCTCTAGGCCAGGGACAGGCTCCCATAGCCACCAGGATGATCAAAGAGGGAGTCAGAGAGGTGAGGAACTAGAAGATAGAAGAGAGAGGGGAAAGGGGAGCCGGAGAGATGAGGCAGCCAGCTCTGTCAAATAGCAAGACAATGGAGAGGATAGGGGAAGTGGGAGGGGGGGGGGGGGGGGTTAGGTAGCAACGAAAACTTGTGATAAATAATACTACTAGTTCAGCGTGTGAGAGTGACGTGTGGTGAGAGGGTGGGCAGATTTTAGGGAAAAGGTTTAAAGTAGGGTATTTTCCATTCTGAGTGCTTTAAAGATTGTTAAGGGGGTTTCAGTATGTGCCCATGTTTTCTTGAATCTGTTCATTTGTTGTGAAGATAGGGGAATATGTGGTACAGTGGGGCTGGGTTTAATAGCAGTGTTTATTCATGAAGTAGACAATATATGAGAGAGAGTACAATGACTTAATTTGCTTTACTATATTACGTATTATATATTGTGTTTCAGGGTAACTGGGTTTACCTAGCCAACTGTCACTTGTCATTAAGTTGGATGCCCACTTTGGACAAGCTGGTAGAACAGCTGCAGATTGAGGAGCCCCATGAGGAATTCCGCCTGTGGCTCAGCAGCTCTCCCAACCCACAGTTTCCTATTTCCATCCTCCAGGCAGGCATTAAAATGACCACTGAGCCTCCTAAGGTGAGGGCATTAATGAGATTTCAGACCATGTACTTTAATTTAAGACTAACCATAAACTTACACTCCCAAAATAACAGTGCATTAATGATATTTAAAACCAGATAATTTAAATCACTCTTAATGTTGTGCAGGGACTGAAAGCCAACGTAAAGCGTCTGTACCACCTGATCACTGAGCAGCAGTTTAATCGCTGCAAGAAGCCAGAGAAGTACAAGAAGCTGCTGTTCTGTCTCTGCTTCTTCCATTCCATCCTTATTGAGAGGAGAAAGTTCTTGATGTTAGGATGGAACATCCCGTATGATTTCAATGATTCAGACTTTGAGGTAGGGGTTGAATGTTTTTATATGTATGTAAAATGAATTATTTTGTAACAAATCTGTTATAAAAAAAAGCTATTTGCCTGTGAAGAAAATTGTAATAATTGTGATAATATTTGATATTCATTCTAAAAGCTGCTGAAAACCGTATTCTGAGACAGTATTATGTTTATATTTTATGTTCAAATAAAATGACAAATTTAACACTTTGAATTACATAGAACTAAAATATCCCTTGAAGCTTAAAAAGAGGAACTTTTAATCAATTCAGAAGTTATCATTTGATCATTTCACTGCTGTCCACATAAAGACAACTTTCAGTTCACATATTGACTTTCATCAATTCATCTTCAGGTCTCAGAGAACCTGCTCAGCATCTATCTGGATGAGTATGACGAGACTCCATGGGACGCTCTCAAATATCTCATTGCTGGCATCAACTACGGAGGTCATGTGACTGATGACTGGGACAGACGTCTCCTCATGACGTATATCACTGATCTGTTCTGTGAGGCTGCCATTGCTCAGCCGTTCTTCAAGTGAGTGAACTGGGATGTTTTCTGACTTCTTTGATAAAAAACACACTGTATATAATAGCTTACCTCTGGCTTTGTGAAATAAACTGAAATTTTGTCACCCAATTCATTCCGCTGCACCCATGTAGAAATTGGTTTGCAACTACAGGGACAGAGTGATATGTTGACACATTTTTTCTGCCCGTAGCAGTCTAAATCTCAGGAGGCATTACAGGTATTATATGGTAGTATCTGTACTCACATTGTATCCACACTCTTTCAGTACACAGAACAGGCAGTAATATATCTTAACATTTCAGGTTGTCTTCCCTCCCCACATACTATGTCCCTAAGGATGGCCCTCTGTCCTCCTACAAGGAGTATGTGAGTATGTTACCCAACATGGACCATCCCGAGGCGTTTGGACAGCACCCAAATGCTGACATCACCTCACAGATCCAGGAGACCAGGATGTTGTTTGAAACTCTGCTGTCGCTGCAGCCACAGACCTCGGCAGCTGCTGGAGAGAGTAGAGAAGACAAGGTAAAGATTGGGTGTTTGTGGGGAGGGGGGGGGGGGGGGAGGGATAGAGTAGGGGGTGAGGGAGAGAATTGCTATCAGATTACAGTTATGCCTGATAGAAGACTAATTTTGTGGTATTTTTAAAATCTTGGCCCTTTTTTGTTATTAACTGCATGTGTATGGAGACAGTGAGGAAATTTTAGTTCTTTTCTAATTTTCTTTTCCTTTTATGCTGGTACTTAAAACTAGTATGTTAACATTAAGACAGATGTAGAATGTCCCTCATCTAGACAATGTCCTTATAGTGATGCTTGATTCCTTACAGGTTCTGGACCTGGCTGGCAAGATTATGGAGCAGCTGCCAGAGAACATTGACTATGAGGGCACAGCAAAGATCCTGTCTGTGGATCCCTCCCCTCTCAATGTGGTACTGCTACAAGAGGTAAGAACTGGCCACCAAACTCTCCACAGACTGCCACTTCAAATCTCTGGATTTTATTATGGACATGCAGCCCCCACAGAATACTTTTTTTAACAGTCATTATTCTAGATTTATAGGTGCATTATGGAAATGAAACATCATCCATGACACCTAAGAAACTATTGTAGAGTCTGTACTTAGCTGAAACAAAAGCTTACTGCCTTACATAATACCATTAGACTACCATCACTCAACATATAAGATTGAGCACATTGCTGCATACATTTTAACACTACTTCCTCTCAATATTTCAAATTGAGCACATTGCTACATACATAAATTATGTGTAAGATTTAGCAAATTGCTATAATATAATAACATGACTTCCCCTGAATGTTTCAGATTGAGCGTTATAATGCCCTGCTGGACACCATCCGTACGTCGCTAATTGCGCTGGAGAAGGCGATCCAAGGTCTGGTTGTGATGTCATCAGAACTGGAGGACATCTTCCAGTGCATGTTTGACGGCAGGGTGCCACCTAGCTGGGAAAATGTAAGCTTGACTGGAGACACACAGCTCTTAGTTCACAATTGACAACATGACAGACCTTAGAACTGCATAGATCTATTTTGTGTTGTATTATTAACAACAGAATAACACCTGTAAATAATGAGTCTGTCCTAAATATTATATAGAATACATGTGTAAATGCATGGCATTAGCAACTCAGCATATTTGAGAGTTTTCAGAATTTCAATATTGGGAAAAAAAAGAAAGAAAGAGAAATTATAAAAAAAATTGGTAATTCATCTTCAAATTTATCATATTTGATCAGAAGACTGGTGAAAAAGTTGAAAAATGGAAGAATCCGTAGAGGTATTGTGACGTAAGTTTCTTGTATAGAATGACTTGGTTCATCAGACAGAGTTGTGTATTTCCAGGCGTATCCGTCCATGAAACTGCTGGGCTCGTGGACACGTGATCTCATGCAGCGCGTAGAACAGTTTGAGAAGTGGGCGACGACGGCACATCCTCCAGTGATTTTCTGGATGTCTGGGTTCACCTTCCCCACCGGGTTCCTCACTGCAGTGCTGCAGACTTCTGCTAGATATCACAATGTAAGAGAGATCCTCACTCTCTCTCTCTTTTTCTCTCTCTCTCTCTCTCTCTTTTTGTATTAGTCCCAAAGTTATGCATAGTATTAAGTTGTTCATAGAAGTTCTGGTACCATAGAAAAATTAAAATAGAATAAAACAAATAGAAATAAAACTACTATTCATTCTTGAGAATTAATTTTTGTGACTGCAACTGATTCTCTCCAATTCTATATTCTCAGCCGCACATACTTGTAATCTAAACCACATATATTTATTACTCCTACCACACAAAGTACTGATATTCTCAACCCCACATACCAGTACTGATGTCCACTGTTACCTACCTATTCCAGGTGTCTGTAGACTCACTGTCCTGGGAGTTCACTGTGATGACAGTAGATGACTCCAATATAACAGGTGCCCCTAAGGACGGAGTGTTAATCCGGGGGCTGTTCCTGCAGGGGGCTGGCTGGGACAAGAAGAATGCCTGTCTCATTGAGGCAGAACCTATGCAGCTGGTTTGTCCTATACCCACCATACACTTCAAACCTGTGGAGAACAAGAAGAAGAGTGGGAAAGGTATTTATACCACCAGAGGGGGCTGTTTTTTGTGAATTAAAGTACTGGTTTATTAATTTTGATCCTGTGTATTTATTTATTTATTTAGTATTGTAAAAGAAGAGATACATGATTTAGGATCTTGATTGCAAACTAAGAAAAATTATTACAACAATAAATTTGTTTCAACAAAAAAAAGGAAGTCAGTATATAAGATGTGAAGTTGTCTGCTTGTCAGTTTAATTAAAGTCAAATTTTAAAAGATATTTTAAAGGCTCAGTATGTCTGCAGCTATCCTGCTATGACAATTGTTGGAGAAGGATGTGTTGTTTGTCACCTTTTGTCATGATATGGTTGTTGATTATTTCACAGTCCCCTTTCTCATGAATTAATAGTTACTGTAATGACAATGTTAGTGATAACTTGTGAGTTTATTAAAATCATATGAGCAACCCACATGTTGTAGTGAACAAAGCTGACCTCTGAGTCTGTCTAATCCAGGTCTGTACCAGTGCCCATGTTACTACTACCCTAACCGTGCCGGCAGGACAGGGAGAGCCAGCTTTGTGGTTGCCGTGGACCTCAAGTGTGGCGAGAAATCTTCAGACCACTGGGTGAAGAGAGGCACTGCACTACTCATGAGTCTGGACACATAGACAGACACTAGGGAAGGAGAGGAGGGAGAACAGGGTTCTGGGAATTCACACAAATTATTGCAGTGACAGTATTCATTGGAAGAGTCAAATTTGTGTTCAGGGGAAAAGGTGAACTGCAAGTTTAAGAAGAAACTTTGCCAAGAACAATATTTTCCATTAAGAAGATGTATGAACTGAAAAGTGATATTTTTGGATAAAAAGTTTTAGAAAGAAATGATCTAAAAAGACTAGCTTAAACAAACCAGGTTTTTATTTATTTTTTTTTTATTTGTGAACAACTGAATGTTTGTTATATAAGTGCAGTGTTTAGCTAAGGTTAGCTGTCACTTACCATAACACTTTTAATTTGCCAGATCCACTGAAGCTTTCCGCGTTTTCACATAATATTGTGAATAATTGATAGTTAAGCATACATTTTTTTCTTTATTTTGAAATGCTGTTTTTATTGAGAAATGATGTATGAATTTCTTTTTGTTGATTTCTTATAGGGTGAAGATATTTCTAATTGTCATTTGAAATTGGCTTTACATGTAAATATCCAGCTGCAGTGAGATATCAAAAGTCAGTAGAGAAATTTAGACCTCAGTCCCATTTTCCAACAATAACATTTCTCTCAGGAGCTGTTTTGTATACGACCCTTTTTCTAGTAGAAATAGTGCCACAAACAATTCCGTCCCTTGAAGTTGTCCATCTAAAAGACTGGAGCACACTTGCTGCAGTGTATAAACATTATTTCTTATTGTATTGATGTTTTATGATATTTATATTGAAGAAGTTTTCATTTTAATCTGAGAAATAACTGTGATAGTAGAAGTAGTAGTATCTGTTGTACATACAAGTGAAAGTTGTAGCGTTTGTTTGTTTTTAACCTTGAATTGTGATTATAAACAATTTAAGAGTCAAATCCGCCCACTCAGTTATTGCCAAATGATGTACATACAGTATGTTTTAAAATAATAGGATTGTGAGGGTTTTGTTCTTTCAATCCTCTTTGCATTTAGAATTTTTTGAATAAAAAAAGAAGTTGAATAAAAATATATTTGCACATGTCATCAGCATTCTGTTTCTTGTTTAATTTTGTCTTCTTAACTTAAGTTACACTTGAGAATAAGTATTGTGAAAATAATAAAGGACAACTAACAGTAACTGAAGATCAGTAATATCCATAGCAACAAGGAGTTACCCCTCTTTAACAAAAGTTAAAGTTTTATATTTTATTAGTAAATACAAAATCATACATATTAAAATAGGTAAAAAATGTAAATATCTACCCAAATTGCTACTGTATTAGTGAAATGTTTTCTCATGCTTGCACATTTCGTTATATGAACATGATTTTACCTGTACAATTTACTTGAGTAAATGAATGAATTTGAATCATACTGATACATAATACTATACATGAAAACCAAAAAGACAAGGAAAATATGCCAAACTGACATAATAAGATTATGACCTCATTGTGAATTGACTATTAAATAGACAATTTGGACAAAAATGCATCTGGATGGCGATCAATGATTTCAATATCAAACCTTAGAAAACTATCACAGCTTCAGTTTCTAATATTCAAATACTTAATTAACCCTCACACACCTGTCCTGTCAGTGTAGACCTACCCCAACTCTAAAACATAATTTATATAGGTGATCTTGAAATAAGCCAATGACTTGCTTAATAAACCTGTCATCTAACTTTTAATGAATAACAGTAGGTGTTAACCCTTTCTGGTCTGCCACTTACTAAATTCCCTGTAGATAATGTCCTGATTTGGCAGTGAGAGGGTTAATACTGTAAATTCAAGTCTTCAGATATTATACACATTATAATTCATGTTAACATTGTTGGATTGGGACAATACTGTAGAATTAAAATGCTTCAATTAAAAAGGTCAGGATTCTGAACCCATTCTTGATACTCTGACCAATATTGTACTTTCATGTACAGAATTTCAATTAAATTACAACAATACTACAGAGTGACAGTGTCTACAAGCACTAATACTGGGTTTATTTTGGATGCAGAATGGAACCATGCTATACCTGGTATTTTACAACATCAGTGTAGACGGGATAAATGAAGAAGCTTCCATGAAAAGAAAAAAGCAGGTCCACAGTTGGGAAGCATGACAGTGATTGCCAATGCTGAACACAAGTATAAATAAATGCAGTTATCATATGCAACTTGGCGCACAAATAAACCTAGTAACATCACCAATTTGTGATATCATTAACAGATACAAAGAAAGTTGCTTTGCCCAAAATCTTTACCATTATTAATATGATTATCATATTTATAATATTAATGAACTGTGATTACAAAGGAAATAACAGAGGCTCAGCCTCCACATAAATATCATCAGATATCTTATAATTACAGATCTAAAATGTGAGCTTGCACAGGTATAAGCTAAGACTAGATTACTTAGTGCTGTGAATTGAATGGATGACACTGGATATCATTTGTGAGTGGACACTATGTACACAGTTCTGTGGTCTATATACAATGTACAAAAAGATCAATTTGAACTCTTATAAACTCATATATTTAATATAATAATTTATTAAATCACAACTGTAAATTATGTCCTGTGTGATACCCATGATATATTTAAAATTATTCACATCAGTAAGTGTTGGTCTCCATTTCTAATTTATAAAAATATAAATTCTAAGTTGTCCTCTATGAAGGTAATCACTGAAATCTGTTCCTAACCACCCCCCCCCCCCCCCCC